CTAGCCGGGGGTAGGGTCAAGGATAAGGTGAAAAAATAAAATTTTGAAATTGAAAATATTTATTTAAATTGATGTTTTTCCCAAAAAAAAGTAATTTGAAATTGGAGGAGAGTTATGGAAAATGTTTTCCTTAATTTTTGAAGGGAAGTTATTTTCCTTAATTTTGAGAAAAATGAGTTGATTTGAAAAATATTTTCCGAAACTTTTGTCCCAACCAAACATGGAAAAATTGGAAAACATTTCCAGAAAATATTTTCCTTCGTACCAAACACACTCTTTATGTTAATCAGTTTTCCATTTTCTCACTATTTTCTTCTTTTCTTTCTTCTCTCCGCCATGAATTTCGCTACTACACTTTAAAAATTGAAATATGAAACAAAAATATAACAATTTGAGATTTTTGTCTATTTAATCATTTTTAAAATCATGTATCTTAGATCTCAATTGTTTTGTCTTCTAGATTTTAAATTTTAAAATAAAACTCCATTGATTTAGATTTTTTCATTTTTCTTTCATGCAAGTGATTCTCCAAATAAAAAACATATTTATTTATTGTTGCACAAAAAAGGGTATGAAAATTACCATTGCAAGTCTTTATATTTTCATCCGCTTAAATTTAGAAATTCAAAAATACAATAACTTTGACGAATAAAAGAGAACGATAGTATATACTTTGTTGCAAATGGAAAGAGAGTTTATGCAGTACTTGTGATAAACTTAAATGAGGAAGAAGATAAGAAAGGACTTTTTGAATCGTATCGAAATTATTAATGTATCTGATACATTATTGAGTTAAAATTATATGTATCTATTTTTTATATCATTGTATTTAATTAAGTGTATATCTATTTGAATTAATTCCTGTATGTATTGAAGATTTACGCGTGTATTTGACGCATTATTAACATATTCGACATATTATTGAGTTAAATTATATGTATTTAATTTTTAATCAAGTTAAATTATATGTATTTAATTTTTAATCAGTGCATCTTATTAAGTGTAAATGTATCTAACAAAATATACACGTGTAACTAAATAATAGTTCGTCAATCTAAATTAAAAAGTTTAAACTTTGTTGAATCGCCAAAAAAGAGAAGAAGGATTTTGTTGTTTTGATTTTTTTAGAAATTGTGATATACCATATCCGTTAAAGTTGTTGCAAACATATTTTCTCTTTAATTAATGACTTTCACTCGTATTTCTTAATTAAGCACACTTCTTAGTTAATGACTTTCAATTATATCTTTAATTAGACACATTAATTGATACGAGATATGTATTTGAAAAAGACATATACATGTATACGTGATCTAAAATATGGTGAAGAGTGTAATCTTACAAATTAGTGTGATATCTAAGTAACTAGATATTAAGGGCATCCTCAACGGAAGCACTAAATTTCACATCAAATTTGATGTCAGCATTGTTTTAGTGTAAATTAACTCCAACCCAATGCATCAAATTTTACATCAAAAAAGAATATTTTTCTCTCTTTATTATTATTATTATTATTATTATTATTATTATTATTATTATTATTATTATTATTATTATTTATTTCATTTATATTTTCTTATTTCACAGAACAAATTCTTTCTAAAATATTTATATGTTTGCATTTTCAATTTTTGAGAAGGTTAATTGCAGTTATATCCAATTATAATTTATAATGAAATTAACATAATTTTAATCTTTTAAAAGCTTATATATAGAAAAATTAATTTATAAAAATATATTTTTATATTTACAATTAATATTATAAAAATATTACATAAAGATAATTAAATATACTTGAGATTTAATTAAAATATATCATTTTTATATAATATTTTAATTAAGAATTTTATATAATAAATAATTTTAAAATATTCAATAAAGTGAATTAATGAGATTAATAATGTTACACCAAATTTAGTGTAACACTATTCACGTATCAAATGGTGTAAAATTTAATATTGAATATGAGTTTCAACACATCAAATTTTACACCAAATAACATTTGGTATTGTGTTGGAGATTGTCTAAAATAGTGAAATTTATGAAAATTAACCCAAATAAAATGACAAAAGGACTAATGGAAGTTGGCCAATCCATCACAAACCTAATACCAACAAGGGAAAATTACTTGGTTAAGCAAACTTATTTTACTTAATTACTCATCAACTATAATTTATTATAATTATCACTCACGACTAACATTATACATTAATTATGTGGGTTGACAACGAGTTTGTATAATAATTCACATTTGTATATGTATATACAAATACATATGTATAATATACAATTATTTAATCAATATACATATACAATTCACCCCTCTCCCACTCTTTGACCTCGCTCACTCGCGTCTCTCCTTTCTCTCCAAATATCACTTGCTTTTTTAGACAAATGCATATGTATAGTGTACAATTATCTAACCAATATACATATATAATTCACTCTTTGCCCTCTCTGGTTCGCCTCTCTCCTCTCTCCCAATCTCACTCGCCATATATACAAATATATATGTATAATATACAGTTTATCTAACCAATATGCATATACATTTCACCTCTCTCCCATTTTTTGCCCTCTCCTCTTTCTCCCAGTCTCGCTCGCCTTTTTCCTCCCTATAACATGTATCTACGAATTGGAATTATCAAATTATAACTATGAAGAGCAATTAAAATATTTTTTAGTAGCTATATGTGAAAATTTTACTGCCAACAATTCAAATCTTCAATTCAAGCCCAAAAAAAGTCTAGGAAATCGAAGGTATTATCTTCATATTGGGCCTTCGACCCTTGTCCTATAGGTGGAAAAAGGTCGTTCTTATTTATTTGTTTGTTTATTCAAAAATTAGTTTATTTTTTCATTTTATAGATAAAAACTTATGAACCCCTATATTATTTAAATATTGCACATATTTTCCATACCAAATATGGGAAATCAAGCTATTCTGACTAATCATGTGTAGCATGAAAGATGATTGGCAAATGAATATAGGGAGGGGGAGGAGTTCCTCTTACTAAATTAGTTCCACTGATTAAGCTTGTTTTGTTTAAATAGTATTGCTTATAGGTAAATTACAGAAATCACATATTTTAAGATAAAATTACAATTTGTTCCTTATAAATTTATAATTAGTTCTCAAAACGGATACAATAATATGACCATTGATACATTAACCTTATGCGCGAGATACATTAATTTAAAACACAAGATACATTAGTCTGATGCATGAGATACACTAATCTGATACACAAAGTACATTTTATATATGATACACTAATTTGATGCGCGAGATACACTAATATGATGCGTAAGACACACTATTCTGATACGCGAGGTATATTTTATACATGATACGCTAATCTGATGTGCGAGATACATTAATGTGAAACGCGAAAATAAGAAATTTTAGAAATTTGTAAAACGTATATGGAACAATGATAATAAGTAAACTAAAATATGAAATTTCCGTAATTAATCTTATATTATACATGTGTTATCCCAAGAAAAAGAGAACTTCCCTTGAAACCTTATTTTATATAGATAGGGGCGATATGATGATTGATGATCTTCTGGGCTAAATAATAGCGTCTGTTCCACCAGTTGACATATTAGAGAGGCCCATATGAGATATCTGCCAAACAAATATTGGTAATTTGTAGTATTTTTTTAACCAATAAGGAAGACTATTTCAAATTCCTTAGAGCCCGCCCTACGTGGTGGAAGGAAATGCTCCCACAAAAAAAATTCTCATGCCCAAAATTTAAACAATAAGACCATATCATTATCATTTGCATCGAACAGATTGTTTTTTATTTAAAAATAATTTTATCCACTATAACTACATCCTTTTTTAAATATCTTTTCGGATCTTAGTAAGACATGTAAAACAATCTGTTTGTCTAGAGCTTTCACTGTTAATTTCTTCATACTATGAATATAAATTTGTCTAGTTGCATTATTTTTATTGTTAGTAAATTGGATTTATATTCTAATAGTAAAAGAGAAATGAATTTCATTGGCATACAACATTTAGAAAGTAATTAAGTAGATATTAACAAATGATCATACATAGCCTTTAATAAGGTCGCAGCTAATTCACTTAATGCTGTTAGTAATAAATTTTGGACTTTATTTGCAGATTACACAGAAGAAGTCTTTATTCTTAAATAATTTTCATCACAAGGAGATTCATAATACTAATAACCAAAAATCATAAGCTTAGTTACATATTCAACAACTTTATTACACACACACACACACCAAAAAAAAAGGACAATGAACAAACCAAACTAGAAAATTGTTAAATTTTACATCTCAGCTTTATTAGCTTTAATATCCTCACCACCAACAGCTTCTGCAATACTAATCACCTTACTCTGTTTCTTCTTCTCTTCAGCCAATTTTGGTACAGTAATTTTCAGAACACCATTTTCCAAATGTGCCTTAATGTGTTCCAAATCAGCATTTCCAGGTAATCTAAACTGTCTCCAGAATTTCCCACAAGTTCTTTCAGCTCTGTGCCATTTCTCCCCTTCAATTTCTTCCTCTGTTTTCCTTTCTCCACTGACTCTCAACACTCTGTTTTCTTCCACCTCAATTTTAACGTCTTCCTTCTTCATCCCTGGAATGTCAAGTGTAATTACATGCTCTGTTGCTGTTTCCTTCCAATCTGATCGAGTTAAAGCGATTGATTCAACCCCTTTTGGGATAGTCAATGGGGTTTGTTCAAGAATTCTGAAAGGATCTTCGGGAGGAAATGCTATGTCCCAAAAGGGGCGTGTGTATGGCATTAGTGCCTTAATTTGGGATGGAAATAAAACGACAACCATTGCTAAAACAAGAAAACTCATAAAGCTAACTCTTGTTTTCGCCATTTTTTGTTTGCTTCTATCAGTAATAAATTGCTTTGTTTTTTCTTTGTGGAAATTTTCTTGACTGTATATTTTTTTCTCTGTGGTTGATGATAACAGACGAAAGTTTATATATAGAAAAAGAAGCTGACATGTTCTTTAGAAGTCTACAAGTTTCTGGAGAAAGTTTGCTGAGACTCGAATATTAATTTCTCCTCTGGAATGTTCCACGGATTGTATAAGTATCAATCTGTATATGAAAAAAGAAAAAAACAATAATTCAATTATAACTAATAAGATTTATCAAATAATTAATTTTTAAAAGACATTGTTTTAGTTTTGAATGTGTTTTAAACCGTAAAATTACTGCAATATTAATGATATAGATTATATACGAAATATTATATATTATAAAAATGAAGATTATGCTTTAACTGGCATTAAATCTAAAATACTTTTGATAGTTTATGTTAACATTGAACTTTCATTTGATAATTTGTGAAACAATTGACTCAATTCATGAAGTTTATAAAAACTATAATTAATAATATATTTATCTAAAATATAGACATATGAAGTATTATATAATGTACAATTTATATATTTATATTCTTGTCTTATGAATTGTTCCAAGCAATATTATATTGTCTATTAAATTATTATTTTTAAAAGAAAAATACATCAATACTCCCTTTAGCTCTAACGCTTTATTTAAAATGACAATTGAATTTTATAGAGGTCTTACTATCCCTTAAACAATTTAAAAGTAATAAAAATATTTAATTTTTCATGCTCAAATATAAAAAAGAAAGTGCATACACACAACAATCAATTATTGCCACGTGTCAATTAGATTAATTTAAAATTTTTATTTTCATATATGTTATGTCTCAACAATAGCTAAACAAATGTATAAATAATGAAGGGTAAAATTAGAGAAGAATACTTAAAAAGAAATTTTGAAAGCTAAATAATTAAATTAATTTAAAGATGAAAAAATACATTAAAAATTAAATTAATGTGAAACAGAAAGAAGTATTTTACCTGGACAAGTTTTCTATCACTCAACCTTTCTAAAATTTTAGTAGTGACAATTATATTATATTTAGAAAAGTAACTTATTTGGAAACTTAGTACTATAACCTTCACTGTTTGATATTCAACAAATTTCTTTCTTATAAAAAGATACAAGGAAATAAGAATAGCATATATAAATTAAAGAACCTCAACATAATGTTGTACTTGTTAATAGTAATCATGTCTTCGATTTTCACATTTGATTTCACCAAACTGAAATGAAAGTGGAATTGATCAAATGTTCTGACAGTTTTTAAAGGCTGAATTGTTACGATTTCCTTTAAAGTAATAGATGATATAATTGGAAGCAATTATCTCTAGGAAACGATAAATGGAATACTGAAATGTTGTAGTCATATGCATTTTTTTTTGAGTCAGAAACTTAAACGGTACAAAATATTAACAAAAATTTTAAAACGATATATAAAATTTTATATTAACCAAAAAGATAAAATCGATGCAGATGCAGCGACTTACCTTACATGAATAAGCAAAATCGCTACCTCAGCAGCGATTTTGCAAAAGTTATTTTTTTTAATAAAAAAATGAAATCGCTGCTTATTTCTTAAAAATCGCTATCAAGGCAGTAATTTTAATTTTTTTATATATAAAAATATGGTACATCGCTGCCTTGGCAGCAATATATAACTTTTTTTTAAAATCGCTGCCACACCAGCGATTTAACATTTTGTAAAGT